GACCAGGCGGGGCGGGGCGCCGGTCCTAGGCGGCAGCGGCAGTCTCCTATCATCCGGCGCACAGATCCGGGGGCCTGCATCCCCGGGAGGGCTCCTGGGCGTGCATCCCCCGGATCTGTGCGAGGGATGACAGCTGGCTGCCGCTGCTGGCTGGGACTGATGCTGAAGCCAAGTAAGCCTGGTTTCGCAACTCAAAATGTTTCAAAACTTTCCAAACGTTTCAAGTGCCCTCATTTTGTTTTGAAGTTGTCTCAAAGGCTTTTGTTTCATTTTGATTTCAGTGTTTGAACTCAAAACACGTCGAAACAGCTTCAAGATAAAACACGCAACGAAATTTCGTACAGCCCTAATGTGTATCTATTCATTGAGAAATCAATATTTCTATGACTGTAACTAAATTGACTTTCCCAGCTCTGTAATACTACAGATCACATACTCTTGTCTCCTTAACAGTTTTCAACCTAAGTGCCATAATAAAATATATTCTGTAGCAAAATATATCAATTTTGTAAGTAGTTATTCTGACTTTTGTAGTTTACTTAGAATCTGTGTGTGTGGTGCTGTTATGCTGCTTTGTTCTCTGTTGTAACTTGACTGTTTCCAAATGAAGCTGTAATACTGTTTACACTAGGCATGTCAAGAGTGCTAGTTTAATACAGGAAGTGTATAAATGATGAATGGATGATGTATGAGGTGAGTGGGTAAAACATACCAAAACAGGAGAAGTTGCTCTGGTATTTTTTTTATTAAAATCAAAAAGTAAAAAGTGTGTCTACTGTATAAGTGATGCTTTGCATTTATTTTGGTGATTTTTTTATTCATGTAATAATTCTGTTTTTCCTTCCAGATGATTTAAGTTAAAATGTGGATTTTTTAAACTTCTTTTGAGATGTATTATGTACCGTATTTTTAGAAATCTTATTTTTAAATAAAAATTTTAAAAATGAAGTTTTTGTTTTCCTTGTGCATCATTTCAAATTCCATTTAAATCACCACAGATAGTTTGCTGATATTTTCTCTCTCTCAGATTTGCACCATATTTATTTGTCTTATAATCCTGAAAATATGAATTTTGATATGATTTTGATGGGTACGTTAAAGGCCGTGTTTTTACTAGGAGTCCTTTACTTGTATAGGAACACTGGTATACTATACTGGCAAAATGTTCTAGTGTAGACACAGATGTGCCCTGCCTGTGAAACAAGCTAAACTAGTGAAAATTAGAGGTGCACCGATACATCAGTCTGATATTGGATTGGCACCAATATAAAGAAAATTGTCTGTATCGGAAATTTTCCTGATGCGCCCAATAATTTGTCCTATAAACACATGTGCATGTGCGCAGGCATAGCACAGCACATAAGCAGCTAGGAGCACAGCCAGCAGCATGAAGAGTGTGTGAAGTGGGAAGTATTCGATTTGGATTCAAATTCAGCCCGATTCAGGGGACAGTGATTCGAGTCGCTGATTTGGATCACTGTCCCAATTTGATTCTGATTTGGAGAATCAGCGATTCGGCCATAGACACAGCTTTATATGTTTTTCTTTTCATGGCTCGTGAATGCTGAGAGGTTGGGGCAGATGGAGCATCCCATGGGAGCATAAGGGACTGTCCCCCCCTTGGATGCTCCAGCTCGGCGATTGGTGCGGTGGGACTCTGGGTGACCCCCAGACCCAGGAGGCACCAGTCGCCAAGCCAGGGGGCGGGGGAGTCCCCCACACGCTCCGCAGAAGACCCAGAAGTGGACCGGAAGTACTTCTGGTCCACTTCCGGGTCTGCTGCCAAGCACACGGGGGAAGGAACCCCCCGATGCTCCCATGGGACGCTCCATCTGCCGCACCATCTCGGTATTCACGAGCCATGACCGGTACCTTGAGGTACATAGAAAAAACATATAAAGCTGTGTGTGTAACCAAATCATTGAATCTCTCCAAACTGAATTGGAGACTTTTGATTCGATTCAGAGAGACTAATGGGTCTGATTCGATTCAGATTTGGAGATTTGTCCGTTGAATCTGTTCTGAATCGAATCAGCGGCCAAAGCTTCGCACAGCCCTAGTGGAGAGCTGCCTGCAGTTGGTAAGTCTGTGGTGGAAGGGGCGGGGGCGCAGATCAAGGTTCCCAGCAGTGAGGGAGGGAGTGGGGCTGCGACAGGCGCTTCCCAGCTAGGGTGGGGAGGGGTGTGGGACAGAGCCACAAACGGCACATCCAAGGGATGGGGAGGGCCATGTGTGTCCCATGGATCTGTGTGGCTCAGGGCAGGCTGCAGCTGGAGGCTGAGGTCAGGGCTGGGGTGGGACAAAGCTGCGGCTTGTCTGGGTGGCATGGGAAGTGGGGGTGGCTCCCACCACTGAGCGCAGCTCATCCAGTGCTCATCTGGTGGTTCCTGCCGCTGCTCCCACTGCTCATCCAGGAGGGCATGGGAGGGGAACATGTGCACGGGGCAGGCTGGGTCCGGGGCTGCGCTGAGCTCTTCCTAGCTGGGCGGAACTGGGGACATGCCCCCTTCTCTGCCCCCATCCCATGCCCTCCTGAACAAGTGGCAGGAGCAGGGCTAAGAGCTGCCAGCAAGCACCGGACAAGCCATGCTCAGTGGCAGGAGCTGCCCTCTCTCCCTTCTCATGCCACCCGGATGAGCCGCAGCTTCGCCAGGCCCCAGGTGCAGCCTGCCACACAGATCTGGAGAAGATGCCTCCCCTCCCACCCCCCTGCATCCTAGAAGACCTGGTAGTGGCTGGGTCCCCTGCTCCTCCCCACCCCCGGCGGGGGGGCTGCCCACCCCGGCTGGGTACTGTCTGCCCCAGCCTCCCTCACTGCGGGGGACTTGATTTGCCCCCCACCACACCACTTCCCTCCCCCATCCCCTTCCACCACACCAGACTTACCAGCTGGATGCAGTTCTTCAAGGTGAAGAGTTGCATACTGGATAGTGGATCAGTATCGGCCAATATACCTCCTTAAACATTGGCTGTCGGTATTGGCTCCAAAAATTTCTATTGGTGCACCTCTAGTGAAAATGCAGTTTTGTAGAATAACTGTCTACCTCAGGTCTTAAGCTAGAACAGTTAAACCAATTATGGCTTATCATTCCTGTAGCTACATGAAGAATCTGTAGTACAGATGTAGTTTAAAGTGTGTATGTTTTGATATGGTCCAAAATAAAATGGAACAAAAAAATATTGCAGCTTTCCCAAATCTTACTATCTCCATTATGGCTAAATTTGTCTTTGTGTACCATATAGTACTTATTCCCTTATTCCCTTCTGAGAACCTTCAGTCCTGTAATAGCAAGTTCTTGGAAGGGAGTCCTGTGCTTAGACTATTGTTTTTCTTGTACTGCCAAAGTGGTCCTGATTTAACCAGAACTATCATAGAATTCCATACACAGAGCAGTTGCAGATTCTGATCTGCCACGAATTAGATATTAGGTTTGGAAGTGGGCAGATCCAAAAAACTCCATAAAGGCAGAGAGTCCATAAATAGTAGACTTACCATGTTGAGTATGGTATTTGAAAAGAATCTTGTCTCTATTCAACTTCAGCATCAGATCATGAAGGCAGCTCACTTTTATGTGGTACAAAAGAATACTGCCTTGACTCTGTGCCCTTCCAGTTGATGACAATGGTGGTTCCCATTTCTTGGTAAAAGGTGGGAAGAGGATAGTGGTACCTACAAAATGATTTGAGGAAGCAGCTAAATTAATTGTGGTTGGGAAGAAATGCCAGGTATATCCATACAGGACACAACAGTAAAATTCAGAGGTACTTCAGTAATCCACTAGCTACAGAACCAGAATTATAGCCATAAAAGCTTTTCAGGCAATTCAAGGCAGTTCATGGCACTACCTTAACATGGCTGCATGGCTTCTGGTTTCACATCTAGTTTGGATATTTCTGTAGGATAAGGCCTTATACCATGTTATCCCCTTTGCACACCACTTAGCAAGTTCATAGATAGCTCATCATTGTCTCAGTACATGTGGACCCACCTTCAGAGCTTCAACACAAGCTAGAAGGAGCATTGGGCCCTGAAATGTGAATGGGGAAAATCAATCAACCACCTGGGATTATTCCAGCAGAATAATTAGCAAAAGAGGAGGGGCAATAGTCCTCCATACAAGGAAATGTTTAAAATATCTGTATTTTGGCACTTCATGAATAACAGCTTAAAAATGCGTAATTGATTATGGTTTCCTGGCATAGGACTTGCTTGTTCTATTTCAAACTAAAAATCTGGTTCTTAGAATAATAGTAATAAAAATCACTTTCATACTGATCCTTCCACAAGAGCAAAAAATTCAACTTGTAAAATGCTGCAATCTGCATAAATTCCAGAGAAAACCA